GTCGTCTGAGAGGAGATCAGGCTCTGAAGGTTCATCCTGGAGAGAATTATAAAAGAATAATGATGTCAGAATATTATGCCATTTGGGTGTAAGAAAAATGTTGTAAGAGGTTGACGGAACTGAGTGTAATGAGCACTAAGGAGGTGAAGTTAGAATGACCAAAAAATTTGTCTAGAAACCACCCTTTGTATTCCTCATTCACTTGGTTTTTCTGCATATGTTATTAATTATGTATACCTCAGTTTTAGTCTTTCGCTATGTAAGATAATAGTACTTAACCCATTGCCACCAGGGAAAATTAATTAAAAAAAATGGGGAAAATGCTGTGCTTTTTTATATTTTTTTCATGAAATGTCTCTATACATATATGGCTCTGCCTTACCTGATTTCACCTTTCCTTCAATTGGCGGGAAAATGTATTTTTTACTTGTGCTATGAATACCGATGGTTATTTTTATTATAAACATTACAATTACAATAATGTTACAACAGCATAATAAGATAACGTAAAATATTTTCGTAAATTAAAGAAAAGGGTAAACGGGTGAGACAGGCAGTACAAGTACAAGTGTAGCCATCTATGTATAAAAACAATTAAACAAGTGAATTCACAGTGGGCATATCACATATATGTGACACCTGCGCAAATGGATTAATCATGCATACCTGAACTTTAGTCTTTTGCTATGTAAGATGATAATACTTAATTATTTTTTCATAAAGATGCTACTTAATTTTATTATTTTTATATGAAATTCTATATATTTCTATCTTACTTTTCTAAGATTAGGAAACAGAGTAAAATATGGTAGTTTACCCTACCATACATACCCTTTGTTAAAGGATACACTGTTATATTTCAATGGTATTGTTATAATAAGGTTGTATAAGTATTATTTGTGTTATTTGGAAAGATTCATTTAAGGTCTGGGATTATGCAGAAGAACTATATACTTGTAATATAAGTGATCTGAGCAGACATTAAATTTTGAAGTATATACAGTACTAAACCCTGATACTATAACTATAACCATAGAGAGAGAGAGATCAGAGAGGACTGTCATTCAACAGCCTGAAAGTGTATTAATTATTGTGAAATATCTGAGCTAGTGACTGGCACATGGTGCTTGAACACCATCCCGATGTGTCTCTCTTATTATTTATTAAGAATAATAATAAAAAAAGAAACATTCAAAGATTAAGTGTTCTTGACATTTATAATAGAATATTAAAATGATGTTTAGTCAAAATTGCTATCATGTGCATGTAACTACTCAGATCGTATATAAGAGCATAAACATTATACATACTTTGTTTGTAAAGAATACTTTTTTCCTAAAAGAAATGATTTAGTTATATTTGATAGATTTATATTGTCTTATCATTCCTAAACTAGAATAATTTTTCTTTTCTAGGAATGGATTTTGTTTGTTTGTTTGTTTTTGTTGATGTTTTGGTTTTCTGGTCCTTGGTGTTGTGGACAAGAATATCATCTTTGGGAGTCCATGGAACTGATGAAGGAAATAATAGAAGATATCTGAGAAGAAGAACAAGTGTAAAGAGTGACAGGTTGGACTACACGCACTTGGACATTTTGTAGATGAATGTTTTATTTTGGTTATAGAAGTGTAATGATTTATGACTCAATATATCAGCAAATAATGTAAGTTCATTAAGTGTTTTGACATTACTCCTTCTCTCAGTTACCTCTAAGGCTGAACTTAGATCATAAATAACCTATGTGACTATTATTCTTTTATAGTGTGTGTTCTAAAGGTATAACTTAGAAAATCCTTTGAAGACACCACACTTGTTGATAAAAGATACTGCCCCTTTGGACTAAGTCTGAGTGGTTCCCAGAGCAAAGGGAATTAATAGGGTCTTTGCTAATGAGAGAGAAGAAATTGAAAAGGAAGAGGAGGCAGAGGAAGAGGAGGAGGGTGGAGGAGGAGGAGGAGGAGGAGGAGGAGGAGGAGGAGGAGGAGGAGGAGGAAGAGGAGGAAAAGGAGGAGGGTGGAGGAGAGGGTGGAGGAAGAGGAGGAGGAGGAGGAGGAGGAGGAGGAGGAGGAGGAGGAGGAAGAGGAGGAAAAGGAGGAAGGTGGAGGAGAGGGTGGAGGAGAAAGAGAGAAAGAGAAGGAAAAGGAGGAGGAGGAGAAGAAAGAGAGGAAATAGGAGTGGAATGAGGAGAGAGAGGAGGAGAGGGAGGAGGAGGAGGAGGAGGAGGAGGAGGAGGAGGAGGAGGATGGAGGAGGAGAAAGAGAGGAAGAGAAGGAAAAGGAGGAGGAGGAGAAGAAAGAGAGGAAAGAGGAGTGGAATGAGGAGAGAGAGGAGGAGAGGGAGGAGGAGGAGGAGGAGGAGGAGGAGGAGGAGGAGGAGGAAGAGAAGGAAAAGGAGGAGGGTGGAGGAGAAGGTGGAGGAGAAAGAGAGAAAGAGAAGGAAAAGGAGGAGGAGGAGAAGAAAGAGAGGAAAGAGGAGTGGAATGAGGAGAGAGAGGAGGAGAGGGAGGAGGAGGAGGAGGAGGAGGAGGAGGAGGAGGAGGAGGAGAGGGAGAAGAGGGAGGAGGAGGATGTAGGAAGAGGAAGAAGAAGAAGAGGAGATTATGAAGAAGAAATAAGAAAAAAAAAACAAAAAACAAAAAATAAGATAAAGGAGAAGCATAAACAGTCCCTGAACTTACCCATGTGGTATCCCTGGCGAGTTCCTTGTCCTTCTCCACCATCTCCGGCAAGTCCTTTCTCATGCAAGTGCGAGTCCGACCCAAAACGTCTGTATATTCCACCCTGTCACAAACAGAACAGCTCTAATTAGTGATAATGATTATAAATGATAAAAAAAGAAAGAAAGAAAGAAAAGTAATAGACTATATAAAAAAAAAAGTCATAATGATATATATGAATAGTCAGTTATAAAATTTTTCAACAAACTTGCTCACATTTAATATCCTTTTCTTCTGAGACAATTAAAAAATAAACAAACTAGAGAGACGTTCTTATGATTTATGAAATTACATAAATATTCAATTAAAGAATTATCATATAGGAAGTTACTCACATTCAATGTTTTTTTTTCTTCAATTCAAAGACAATGAAATAAATCAAAACATACAGATTCAGTTACTGTAGCAAAAAAAAAGAGAGAGAGAGAGAGAGAGAGAGAGAGAGAGAGAGAGAGAGAGAGAGAGAGAGAGAGAGAGAGAGAGAGAGAGAGAGAGAGAGAGAGAGAGAGAGAGAGAGAGCAAAAATTACTTTCATACCTTAACCTCAGTGCTAAATGTGAGCACAAGGACTTTAAGTAAGATCCAAACCTCTATAACAAAGTCCGTAAAATAACTTTTGCTATCTCTGCTCTCTAAAACTGACACAGCTAAGTACAGCAATATTGTATAATATGTGATCAACAGACAGGAAGAAAAGCATGACAAAAAAAAGAGAGAGAAAAAGTGAAAGAGAGAGAGAGAGAGAGAGAGAGAGAGAGAGAGAGAGAGAGAGAGAGAGAGAGAGAAAGAGAGAGAGAGAGAGAGAGAGAGAGAGAGAGAGAGAGAGAGAGAGAGAGAGAGAGAGAGAGAGAGAGAGAGAGAGAGAGAGAGAGAGAGCAACAAATGAATGGAAAAAAAATATTTAGGTGAATCTTGCTATCATCCCATGTAGCAGACATACCTGAGTATGACATATGTTAATCATCATCTTTAAAGCTTCTTAGAGATTAAAGGAGAAGGGGGAAACGAGAGAAAAGAAAAGAAAAAAGAGAAAGAAGAAAAAAAAGACGAAGAAAAAGAAGAGGAAGAAGAAAAAGAAAGAGAAGAAGAAAAAGAAGAAGAAGAAGAAGAAGAAGAAGAAAAAAAAGAAAACACATACCATTCATCGTCCTTCTTCGATGCTTTGTAAAACTTGGGGTTCTCCTTCTCTCTTTCTTCCTGTTCTTCTCGTTTGTTCTTCCTTTCCATTACATCATCAATAATCTTTTTCTGAAATACAGATGAAGACCATTGTCATTTCACAATAACACATCTTTATAGTACGGATAATACCAAGATTACGTCTCAACCCTCGTGCATATTGGTAAAAAACAAGCTATATCTTAAGCTTTTTTTTGTAGTTTCATAGCCAAGTTTAAGTCTCTCACAGAGAAATAAGCTGCCAGAGTGGATATTCACCCTATCAGGCTTCCTTACTCTTCTCTTTCTCAAACTCTTGACTTCAGTTAGGTGGAAATGTAATATTATTTCATAACATCTGTGACTACAACCAGCTAATCACCATTACTGCCTTTTTTCATAAAGCAAAGCTGATTTTCATATAATTTATAATAATAACAAAAATAATGATAATAATATAAAAAAATAAGATTTACAATACTACTAATACTAATAGTATTATCATTATCATTATTATTAGTAGTAGTAATAATAATAATAATAACAACAAAACAACAACAATAATAATAACAACAACAACAACAACAATAACAACATCAATAATAATAATAGTAATAATAATAATCATAGACCAAAACCCTAGATTACCCTACACATTATCTCCTAAATAACATATGGATAAAATGGATACAAAATAACCACAACTACATGGTTTCCTCGATTAACAAATAATTTCTTCCTCATCCATACCTGAAAATTGACGAGATATTTTTGGTTAAGTCCGTCATCCTCCAGGGCCTCAACACCACCATGCAGCCTCTCATACATGGCAGCTTTCTTCTCCAAGATTGACCTGAAATTTTCAGAGGACGTGATAGAGTTGTGATAATCAATCAATTATAATTCTGCCTTGAACTAAAAGAAGAAAAGGAAAAAAATAACAGGAGTGGAGAAAACACAGTCTATAGAATAGCAACGTTAAATACAAACCTATCCATACATACTTATAAATCTATCTATATACATACAATCAATTCACATAGACATACACGTGTGCAAAACTGCTATCTAAGATGTGCAAATTTAGTCTTATTTTGTATTTGAAATAAGATTTTTAATCATGTAG